TATATATATATATGTATATGTATATGTATAATATTTACTAAATGAGTTTTTTTTTTTTTTTTTTTTTTTAAAGGAAGGAAAGAGAAACAAAAACAAAAGGAAAAATACTTTGAAACAGCCTATAGCACATACCATAAACAAAGTATTTGAAAGTTACTTAAATGATATATTTGTCGTCGCAAATATAGCACTGTAAATGGTAGTGAGATCCCATATCGATTGGATAGAGGAATGAGCATTCTTTATAAAAGCATGGAAATCTCTTCACAGTGAACGTGTATTAAAACCATGAGGCTGATGGCGATACGTAATGGGCCAAAACCGATAATATCTCATAGCAATAAGTTTGGGCTGTTACAAATGGTATTAGAGCTAGGCACCAGCGGTGTGCTAGCGAGGACGCTAGAGCCCAAAGGGAGTGGATTGTGAGATTCCACATCAGTTGGAGAGGGGAACGAAGCATTCATTATAAGGGTGTGGAAACCTCTTCCTAGTGGACGAGTTTTAAAACTGTGCAGCTGATAGCGATACATAACAAGCCAAAGCAGACAACATCTACTAGCGAGTTAGTTATGTCATTGAAAGTTTAAAAGTTATTGATGTAACTTTTTTTTAGTTCAACAACACATGCCGATGGAGAAATTTGAATATTTGACATTTTGGTTGATGATACATGACATAATCCGTTGACCTATATTCACGTTTATTTATTGATATACTTTAACTGTTAAAATATATTTAGGCCTATCATCGACAATATGCATGATTCATCAAGTAATAAGATGATTTGAAAGAAGAATTTGACTTGGATAAAATCATAAGAATTTTATGATTGGAAGTTTTCTTTTCAGCCGTATGTATATATTTTTCATAATTTACCCTTCAAATAACTTCTGAATTTACTCGTATTTAGTAAAAAGGAAAGGTAGATCATTCTCTTACTCAAAATCTTAACCACCTTCGTTTTTGGAATTCATTTTTTTAATCTCCAATTCTATCCAAAAATAATTGTGTTCGTTGTTTGTTTGATCATTTCTTTGTTTTATTTTGTTGTTACTTCATAATTACCTTATTTTGATTGTCTTGAATAGCTCGCTGCTCTAAGAATTGCTTTATATATATATTAGCCTACATTGATTATAATTTAGTCACTTTTCCAAATATTCTACCTTTGTGTGTAATAAACACCGGTGTTTAGCCAAGAGAACTTCTTGTAGTCTTGTCATTGGTAGTGGAAGTTGCACCAATGTAGTAAGTACCATGTTGATCAAAAGGTTGCAAATTTCAACCCAACACCATCCTAAACCTTACTTGCTAGAGATTGGCCGATCTTGGCAATTTGATAGAAAGGTCATGTATGATGATTATTTGAATAGGTATTCTTTTAGAAAAGATGGTAGAAAAACACTCTTATCCCTTTGAGTTCTTGAATAGGTATTCTTTTAGAAAAGATGTAGAAAAACAACTCTTATACCTTTGAGTTATGCAAATGTATTTTATGATCAATTAAAGTTAGATGAAAAAAAAAAGAGTTTGAGGAAAAAGAATTGAAAGAAAAGCCAAACTTGAGTGAAAAATTAGAGGAAAATCAAAGATAAAAAAATTAATGAAAAGAAGAGGAAAAAAAAAAAGATGAAATTGAAAAAAAAAGAGTGAGTTGTTTGACTAGAGTCCGGAAAAGTGAGGAGCAATGTTTTCACAAAAAAACCATTTTTGTACTTCTCTATAAGGAAGGATATTTGGTCTCTAACAACTTGTCATTGATTATTGTGTTTCAATATCTTTTATAGAAAATTGAGGACGTGTTTGAAGATGAAGTACCTAAAGGATTACCTCCCATTAGAGGTATTGAATAAAAATAGACCTCATTCTGGGGGCTGTCGTTCTTAATAGACCAATTTACCAATCCAACTTAGACTAAAGAAATTCAAAGGCAAGTGGAGGAGCTCATGGAGAAAGGCTATATACGAGAAAGTTTGAGTCCATGTACTGTATCAGTCTTATTGGTGCCAAAGAAAGATGAAACTTAGTGCATGTGCATGGATTGTAGAGTCATCAACAAAATCATTATAAAGTACCGACCCATCCTAAAGGACGGAAGGAAATCATTTTTCAACATGGAGACTGGGTTTGGATACATTTTTGCACTGAGTTATTCCTATCTCAAAGGAAGACAAAATTACATCCAAGAGGGATGACCTTTATCATGTCCTTGAAAGTATTACTAGCAATTCCTATAAAATTGATCTTCCCATAGAATTTTCAGTACATCCTACTTTTAATGTTGCTGACTTAAATACTTTTGATGTAGGAGATGATTTTCCAGATTCGATGATAAATCGTTTTGAAGAGAGGGAAGATGATAAGAATCACGATGTTCCAAATGTTCCAACTAGACCTATTATACGTGATAAGACAACCTTAATCCTCAGCCCAACGATCCAAGCTTTTATTGAAGCAAGAACCCTGAATCAAATAAATTATCATCCTTATACAAAATTTGGATCAATCAAGAGATATGCTATAATTAGATTACCTCTTAAGATAAAAGATCTATAAGTAAGATTTGAAACATTGTTCTAAATTGAGTCATTTCACAATCGAACTTGATCAAGGTTTGATTGAATGACTCAAATGCAATCTACCCCAAGAATTGCTTGGAACTTAGAAATATGCTCGAATTTCTAAGTGTATAAGTCTCAATTTTAGATCTCAATTTCATTCATCCGAAACCTGTCTTTTACATATAAATTGTGGTTATTTATACTCTCCACGTAAGAAACTTTCAATTCTTAAATGCCCCTAAAGAAGTTAGTAGTCAATTTAATTTCGATCCCTTTAAATCTCCATAGAAGAAGTCAATTTGACAAATAACTGCCCCTTCAGCCCATTACAAGAATTATGAAATTAAAAATAATAAATAAGGTTTTCTAACAACTTATCAATCAAGTACAATTTATAGCAACTTCATCTACTACTTCCACCGTGCGAATATTCACATCGGAAGTTCCAAATGGTCCTTCCACAATCAAATCAGCCTGTAACACATGAAATAATGGTTGAACCGAGCCTAGCCAATTTTTTAGCTGAAGAATGAATGCTTGTTGAATTTTCTTGGGCTTTCATCGTGTAATAGATCTAGTTGGAACATTTGAAATACTGAGATCCTTATGATCTTCGCACTTTTCAAAAGGATTCGTCCTCGAATTAGAAAAATTATCACCTACATCAAAATGATTCAAGTCAGCAACAATAAAAGTAGAATAAAAAATTCTCCAGGAAGATCAATTTTATATGCATTGTTATTAATTTTTTCAAGGACGATAAGGGTTATCCCCTCTCGGATGTAACTTTCTCTTCCTTTGAGATTGGAATAGCTCTTGCGAAAATGTATCCAAACCAAGTCACCGGGTTGAAAAATGATTTCCTTCCGTCCTTTGTTAATCCTTGAAGCAACTTTGAAATTTTGTTTTTCAATTCTATCCTTCACCTCTTTGTGCAATGTTTTGATCAAATCTGCATTACTCGTGGTTGTTTCACTTATAAAAATATTTGAAGGAATAGGAAGCAAATCAAGAGGCGTAAGTGGATTAAATTCATAAAAAACTTAAAAAGGTGAACAATGAGTGGTACTGATAAGAATCACGGTCTTCCAAATGTTCCAACTGGACCTACTGCACGATCCAAGGCCAAAAAGATTCAACAAGCATTCATTCTTCATCTACAAAATTGGATAGACTCGGTTCAACAATCATTTCATATGTTACAAGCTGATTCGATTGAGGAAGGACCATTTCGAGCTTCAGAAGTGAACATTTGCACGGTTGAAGTAGCGGATGAAGTTGCAAGCATCATTTCATGAGTTGTTAGAAAACCTTGTTTATTATTTTTTTAATTTCATAAAGTTTGTAATGGTCAAATAGACTTTGTCTTTTGTGTAGATTTAAGGGGATCGGGATTAAATCCCGGCCACTCACTTCTTTTCTGAGGAGACTATAAATACCCACAAATTATTATGTAAAAATTAGATTTTTGATGAATGAAATTGATCTCTCAAGTTGAGACGTGCCCCTTAAAAATCTTAGCATCATCTTTGTCATTTTTAAGTTCTAAGTAATTCTTGTGGTAGATTGCATCTGAGCCATTCAATGAAAGCCTTGATCAAGTTCGACTGTGGAGTGACAAAATTTAGAACAAGGTTCAAAATCTTGCTTCTAGATTTTTTTTATCTTGAGAGGTAATCTAATTCTAAATCTCTTGGTTGATTCGAATTTTGTATAAGAATGTGTTAATTTTTTGATTCCAGGGTTCTTGCTTCATTAAAAGCTTGGATCATTGGGCTGAGGATTAAGGTTGCCTTATCAAGGTTGGAAGAATTGGAAGATGGGCTGAGGATTTGGAAGAATTGGAAGATGGGAGTAATTTGGCACTTCTTAAGGAAAAGACTTCTTAAAACTCAAGTTAGGGAGAATAATGTTGATGATCAAAGAGACAACCTATTTCACACAAGATGTTTAGTCAAGGAGACTCCTTGTAGTCTTGTTATTGATAGTGGAAGTTGCACCAGATGGTGTTAATATAACACATGTGGAAGAAATTTGGATCTTAGGCACTTTTAGAACATCAATTAT